CAGCCCTGTGGCTACCACTGGAGCTCCATACCAATGGCTAGCAAGTGGGTGTGGGGAGACAACCGCTAGCACGCGGGTGGGGAGAGAGAAAACCGCTAGCACACGGGGACGGGGGGGGGGGGGGGGGGAGGAGACACACGACATGGACAACTGCTAGCAAGCATGGCGGGGGATGAGGGGACAGCTCTCCTTAGACTTGCCGGAGCAGGGAGAATGCCAACTATACACAAACACGTTTAGCTGCAGAATTTAGGGAATCTCAGACATGTGCCTCCTCCTAAGTGTAGGAAACAGACTGAAAGAGCTAGGATGAGTGGCTCAGTGCCAAGCAATCCAATGTGACTATAACGTTGGGAGGGCCAAGGTTATATTTGCCTACTTTGCCATCTGCAAAATAGGTGTAAATGCTTTGAATAGGCAATGTCCTTCATAGGCTTTGTATTAGAGGCTTTGGGCAAGTAACTGGATCGTGAGGACTCTGATCTAATGAATGGATCAATTCCTTGATGGATTTTAAGATGGTTTTACTGGGAGGAGATAACAAAGAAGGCAGGGTCTGTTGGAAGATGTAGGTCACTGGAGGTGGGCAAGGGAAAGACCTTCCCTGACATTTTTCCTCTGTATGCTGGCAGCCATGAGGTGAGCAACCTCTGCAACATGCTCTTGCTTCATGCCTCAGGCCCAGGCCCACACATTGCACTCAGAAGACTCTGGGCTGAGATATCTGAAATTACTACTCAAAGGAAGTTTTTCAGTTGTCACCACAGCACAACTGGAACTGACCCAACCAAGAGTCATGCTGAGGACATAGGAAACACCTAATAGAGAAATAAGTGTCTCTTGCAATCTTAAAGCCTGGTTTTGGTATGGGAAGTTGGATACCCTTCTATCCCTCATTTGTTTTGCTACCTGGGATCTTTTAGGATATTTTTTTTAACCTATAAGCCCTAGTAGTAAATCTCCCTTCTAAGATATCTTTGATCTCATAAGTATAAAAATGAAGAGAGTATGTATGTACACTGATAAATCATGATACTATCATTTCAATGACAAGCAAAGAAAGAAGAAATGTCACTGTTTAGCTGTCATAGTCTTTCTTGCTTTGGCCAACCTGTCTGATTTGCATCAAGACTTTTCACGTTGTTAACCATCTAAGTTTCCTGACAGTCACACAAGCTGGGATAACATGCCAGAGCGGGGTTACTCAGGAAAGGCTTGGTTATGAAACCTAATATTTAAATTAAGATTTAAAAGAGGATGTCTCAAGAAAGTAAATTTTCATGTTATAAAAGTCTAAATCTATTTAAAAACTCCTGATGAGCAAGCGGCATGGAACATCAACCTACAGATGGCACTGGTCCTTTTAAAGTGAAGGGGACAGACTATAGAAATATGAACACACAGCTTTTCTACACATTAGATATCTGATTATATGATGTCAGGTAATTACACACTAGAATAAAACCCAAATTCTGGACTAAGAAAGAAAATAATTATTACATTTGTAACGGTTAGCAATACCAGAAAAAATAAGTATAATAAATCTGCATAAAAATGTTAGAATTGAGTTAGAACTAAGTAGGGATGCTTTTTAATCACAGGACAGTGATTCCTAGTTACAGTAACTACAAGGGTACCACACGCACTGTTTGCCACTTTCAGCACCATCACAACCGTGCAAAGTGCCCAGAATGGATGGCACTCCTGCCCTGACTGCTCACATGGAGGTCAGGGTGACCAACCTTTCCATCGAGGAAGCTGCAGACTGTGTGACTGTTCATTTCCTCCAAGAGATCCATCTATGGGATAAAGACATGGGAGGACTTGCAGGAACACGTTCGTGTCCAGTGCCAGAAATTTCAATCTTCTTGAAACAAACAAGAAATGTAAAGACCAATTTATTATCTACATTATCTTATGAACACAACTATTCTTTACCTGGAATAGAATTAAATATAACTTCTCAGCAGGCATTTTCCTAGATTATGACAAGTCCCTATGCAGTCAACAGCTTGGAGAAGACAGAGCGTGAACATCTGCTAAGATTCCCTTTGTCATGGGCTACATTCAGTACTTCTCTGACTCATGTTGTATTACAAAACAAACATCAAATGTAAATCTAGACCTCAATGCCTTGTTCTGAACACAAAGAAGCCTGGTTAAGTATTACAGAGTGTCTAAAAAGGAGGTGGACTTCTTCAGAAAGTTGAAAAGGTCTGGAAGAACTAGATAGCAGGGCATGTCCACTGGAAACCACGACAGTGCAAACATATAACATCTACCCCATCCAGTACAGTGGATAAAGGTGCTTCTCACCAAGGATGACGATGCCCTGGGTTTGGTCCCCAGGACCCACATGGAGAAGGAGAGAAACCATCCTCAGACTCCCACACATGCACTGTGCACTGCGGCACATATGCACCCACCTCATCTACACGCACTCACATACAAATACACACAATTAAATGCACAAATGTAGTAAAGTTTATCCCATTTCTGATCTTACCTAACTCCCATAGCGTTAGCAGAATCAGATTATCAGAGACACACAGTCTGTAGGTCACTGGTCTAAACCCTTTCATTTTAGTCCCCAGAAACTTGATGCTCAAACTCCTTTAGGACGCTTACATAGCTAGTTGAGAGAACTCAAATCTTTCAACTTTCAACACATTGCCCACATGCACGGTCAAGGAGGCACATGCGAGCTACAGCCACATTTCAATGCTGTGTTAATATTTTCAGTAGCAAAAACCATCACAGAGTTCTTAAAAAGTCATTTTTGTGTTCTGACTCAACAAGTTCCTGGAAAACTATCCATGAAACTAAATACTATATGTGAATTACGTTATTATCTAGGAAATAAACTGAAATCTTTAAACATATTTTAAAAGTAATCTGTAAATCTGGGTGGACTAAAACTTCCTTGGTGAAAAGTTAATATTATTGCAATAAAACAATAAATAATCACTAAAAAGTTACCAGAATGAATGACTAAATATGGAAGTAATGTTTTTTTCCACAAATGTACCTCATAAACATGTCTTACAGAATTAAAGAGAAGCTCTCTCAAGTAAACTACAATAGCAAGAATTCTCCATTCAGCTTATTTTAAAAGTTAAGCAAAGAGATCACTAATTCTATGGCACATACATCAAATACATGAGTAATATCAATACTGTGTTTTTACATTCAACACAACAGTGTTATAAATTGGCCTAAAAACATATGCTGAGTTGTAAGATTTTGAAAAAATGGGAAGGGCAAAGCAAGGCTAAAGAGCAATTAAAGCAGCTACTAAATGACAGGCACACTGGCACCTAGGGAGAATTTCTACAGCAGAAGACAGACACCTCTCTGTAGATGTAAGTAGTATGTGTTAGCAGCTACTTACCTAGCACCTTCTCCTTCTTGTGAGTGGCCCATAACTCACTGTACTGCCTGGCCAAAAATATTACAGAATCCATGACTAGAGAGCAATACACACAATGTAGGAGCCATTTAGTCTGAGCAAAGACAAAACTGTTCTATTGTTTATGGCAAAGAATACAATTAATATAGAACTGGGAACAGATGACGTCATCAAAGCAATACAAACACATTTTTTTGACACCGGTCTTTCTCTTCTAATTTAACTCAGTTATTGTGTAAGAACCTATTTTCTGTAGAAAACGGCTACTCATCTATAGTAGATAGTGAAAAAATTTAAAAACTGGATTAATAATAGAATATTTCATGTTTCTAAAAATGTATACCCCCTAAAAGATTGTCTGCATATTCCTTCATTTCTTCTTATAAATCACTCTCATTTTAAAAGGCATTTACACAGTGGAATACAACTGAACTGTAATGGAAAATAAAAAGATTGGATATGCAGGCTGTTGGTAGAAGTCCCACGCTCCAGTAGATGGCCCCACATCCTTACACATATGGACAGCACTAACTGGATTTAGTGGGTTAATAAAAAAAAACATGCAGTTGGGATAGGGATATGTTGAGGGAGACATAGGAGGAATTATGATCATTTGGGAAAATATGATCATATTTTATTGTATACATGTATGAAATTCTCAAAAACAAAAATGTCTTAAAAGGTATGTCCCCAAAATTGCTTATTCTAAATATTTTAAATGATGTGTTAATTCTATCAATAAAATTGAAATCCACAAGACATATTACATCTACCATCATCTTTTCCTTATAAAGACCCTGCAGGACCTGGTTGAAGCAGCCTGGCTGCATGGTGTACGGAAGCTGACAGGTTCAGATCCTGCCTGGTACAATGCAATAAGCCAGAGCTGAGGCTCTAGGCTCACATGGTCAAAGCTTAGAAATAACTGTGAAACACCAGACCTCCAACTTAAAACTTAAATCTATTCTAAAGTCTGCATATTTACATTATAAAATGCTTCTTCTCCAAAATAACACAGAAAGGAATAAATATAAGTCATAATTTACACTTACCCAAGTCACAGATTTTCTCATACAGAAATAACTATGTGACATAATGCACCTCCCTGGTTTAAATAAACAATCTAGTCATTACTCTCCTGTACTCTGGAATGCCTTGTGGGAATTTTGCTAAAAATATATAGAGAGATAAACAGTATGTGATTTAAAAAAAATTTAAAAGCTTGAGGTCATAATTTTTTACTGAGAAATACTTCAGTCTTTTCTCAAAAGGGATGAAAAATATAATAAGGACTTGTTCTTTGGCTAGACAGTTCCTCCTGCGCTGTCTAGTTTACCTGAAAAAAAAAAAAAGGGTAACTTCTCTAGTGAGTCTGGACAATGCACCATCAACCATGTAGTGCAGGCAACAGGAACAAGCACCAAGGCCTGCATGAGAGCTTGGGACAGACAAAGAGCATGAGGTAAACTGACAGCAAACAGAAGGGCGTAGACAGATGTGTGGGAGCAGTGGGCTGGTCACAGACGTCTCCTGATGCTTGTGTTACGTACCATACACAGAAACTGCATTGGGGTCATTGGATGATACTCACAGAAGGGTTGTAGGAAGGCTCCAGTATCACCGGTAATGACATTTTCCCTTGAAGATTCAACTTCGTTAAATAAAAAATCTTTTCCCCCACAATCTTTTCTTTCTTCATACGATGAACACCGTACAGTCTAAACCTAACTGCATAGTTTCCAATCATCTCTGATTCAACGTGGTTAAATTTGAATGTTTCTGTGAAGACAGGGCATGGTCCTCTCTGGATGCTGGTTTTGGCTCTCTGTTTCTTTATAGGTAAAAGAACAAGATGCACCTGCCACGAGTTGCCACCTGTCCTGTTATAGGTTGGAATGTCTGTGACAGCTGTCACCGTCACCAGAAGCTTCTGTCTTTGTGAGTCATAGTCAAAGGTCACATCCAATGTGCCGTATTTAGCTTCTGGCTCTGGAGCAAAAGGCTTAGGAAGCTGTGAGGAGGATCCTTGAGCTGACATGTCCTAAGAAAAGCAAATTTAAATGTTTTTAGTTTTTAACCCTAATACTTAATCTAGACATAAATAAATGCCAAGTTCTTGTAGAGAAAAATATTCAACAGTTTTCATTGCTACCATGTTGAAAGCTCAAGCGTCAATCAGCTATAGGCCAACGTCACCCACAGGCAGTGTGATTTAAGTGGTGAAGACCACACAAAGAAGACAACTTTTGAGTGCACTATTCACTACCACAGTTTTGATGTATATTTGTATAAACTAGAGTTCAACGTGCACATCAGTGACATGTCTTTGCTCCTGATGGAGGAGCCTGCGAAGAAGAGCAAAGTTCTAAGCTACAGAACGATGTGGCTCCACTCTCAGGGATGTTTAAGATGACTCCGTCTAAAACAGAATACTACAGTAAAACTTAAGCCGATCTCATCTAGTGACTGACAAAGCTGGAACCAGGTTTTTGACCTTTGAGCCACACACTTTGACCTTCAAATATTGAATAAGACCTTGGATTCATAGCTACTGTAGCACCAAACAATGCTGACCAAGGTCTTCCTTCTCCTATTAGCTCAAATGATGCCCGACCCAGAAGGTTCTCTTGGATGTGCTTACGGCACAACTAGGGCAGATAGAGGCACACAGAGCTCCTATGAGAAATATCTATCTTAACCTTGCAATGGAAATGCTTGCTTTTCATTCTTTCCACAAGCAGGCATACAGATAGTGTGTGGAATCTGTTTGAACCAAAAAAATAAGGACAGGGCTCTAGGGAACGGTAGGTTCACATAAAAAGCTGGCCCTGAATAAAGCCATTATGCAAAGTCTTACTTATCTGGTTGAGTGAAAGAGAAACAAGCTCCCGAGTTTTTCAGTCAGCTTAGCACTGTGTTCTAAGCCCTCTGTTAGCTTGGGATAGAAGACTCTTCTTTAAGCAGAAAACATCAAAAAGACAGGAGCCACTGATACTTTAAGTATACAAAGTCCTTGATATCACATGTGGAAAACAGGAAGAACTTTTGTAGAAGACATTCCTTAAATTGATTGCTTATGTGCATGCTGCATGTATTTTAAATACGTTAATGTGTTTGTGTGTGCTGCCTGGGTTTGACGCATGCACTCCAGTACACACTCACACACAGATGCCAGAGGAGAGTGTCAGAGGCCTGCTCCACCATCCTCAGAGCCCAGAGACTGTCACTGTGTGACTAAGCTGGCTGGTCAGCAAGCTCAGTCAGCTTCCTTTCTCTGTCCTTAGCAATGTGGTTGTAGACACAGGTTGCCATGTACAGCTTTAAGTGGGTGCTAGAAATACAAACCCATTTCATAATTGTTAATTATAGATTACTTGATGTGGGATTCCCCTCTGTATGCTGTGAATATGTTTTAATGCCATTGGTTAATAAAGAAGCTGTTTTGGCCAATGGTTTAACAAAGTAAAGCCAGGCGGAAAATGCGAACAGAGATGTAGAGAGAGAGTAGGCAGAGTCAAGGAGAGACCATGCAGCCACCAAAGCAGACAGATACCCTGGAACCTAAACGGTAAACCACAAGCCTCGTGGTAATACACATTATAATAGGAATGGATTAAGATGTAAGAGCTAGCTAGGAATATGCTTAAGCTATTGGCCAAACAGTAGTGTAATTAATATAGTTTCTGTGTGGTTATTGTGGGTCTGGGCAGCCAGGAAACAAACAAGCAGCCTCCGCCTACAATTACCAATGTCTCTTTGGTATTTCAACTTAATGTTTTAAAAATAATTATCATGGTAACAAGGGTTTTCAGAAAATAAACACTTTATGAGGTCCTAAATTTCTGGGTTTTACTTCTGACATTCTAACAGTCCTTAGAAATACAGATGAAATCTTATATACCAAGGCTACTATTCACATTCCTAAAACAAGCACTAAGAGAAAAATCTTTCCCTATCAGGGTGCTGGGCGTCATTATTTGCAGAAAGTCTTCAATAGAGCTAGCTGATGAACCTGTTACATGGATCCTCTGATGCAGGATAGATATTACAAGGATGTAAAATAAACTTGAAAAAATACAAATTTTATAGTGGCCTAGGCTATCCAATATTCCACATCTAAACATTTATGTAGTATTTACTAGATGTACTGTATGAATGTATTCAGGGATGCTATAAAACATTCCACATCTAAACACTCATGTAATGTGTACTTGATGTACTATATGAATGTATTTGTGTGCTATAAAAGGCACAAGCATGGGAGAAACTGCATAGTGTTATCACAGCAAGTACACAGCTTCTGAAATACACACAGCAGTGGTTACGCACAGATAAGCAAGCAGCTTGAGAGACATGTGCAGAAAGAATACCTAAGGTAGCAGCCTAGAAGATATGCCAGCAATCCATGGACTACAAAGAAAGCATGATGGAGCAAGTAGATACTTGCTTTGCCTTGTTGACTGTGAGCCAAGGATTTTTATCACCCACAGGTTCTACTTACGAAATACAGGGAAAAACCTGTTTCTCAGGTAGCAAGTTTCTCTAATTGGCAAATTACAGGGGTAAACAGGTATATTTTCCCTTTATTTCTCCCATAAAAAAGAGCTTGCTGCCAGTTGTGGGTGCCTCTTTTCAAATCTCAGTGCTGGTCCCTGCTATCAAGTGATAAACAGACCTGCAGACACTGAGAAGGATACATAGACCGTACGGGCTGGTGTGGGCTCGCCACCTATCTGCTCTGACATCCTGTGGCAAGTTGTGTTGATCTATTTTATCTTCATTTGCTTAATGTCTGCTTTGCATCTGAAGAGGAGGAAAATATACACACATACACTTAAGCATCTGGTTGCATTTGAACATGTTACTTTGGTGATTAAGGTTTCTGGGACAGTTTGCCTTGTAGTATTTCCAGATGGCACTATCATAACAAAGAACCCTCAAACAACAACCCAGTCAACAAGAATGTAAAGAGTAAGGTAGATGCACATGCAGGGACCTGGGGGAACAGAGCTGCCTGCTTCTCTCTGAAGCTAGCAGTTTTTACTTCCTGAAGCAGTGACTATGAACAATGAATAAGCTGTCTAGGTGTCAGATAGATACTATTGTGGTCACCGTTATAATCCAGGGTCACTGCTAAGTCAGTGGCTACCTATATAGTTTGCAAAACATAAAGTTCTCAAATATGTTTATGTGATAGCACACAGGAAACTGGTAGAATCATGACACATTAAAACTTAAAGTCCCAATTCAGCAGTTCCTTCTAGGTCAGATACTACATGATAATACTAAAGCTACCAGAAAGCAGTTATAGTACTTTTAAATTATAGGAGAAAACCCCAAGCTGAACAAATTCTGTCTATAGTTTAATTACACTGTGCATTAGAAAACTACCTACATTATTTAGACAGCACAGACCATGTCAGAGGGATAATGCTGATGGGGCGAAAGCTGAAGGACCTTGCAATGTAAAACTTGTGAAAGAAAGCAGCTCCTACAGATAATTGCTGCATGTGAGGCTTGGGATATCTTAGTCTTCATCCTAAGAATGAATGAGACAAATTCTTTATGGATTACAAAAAGACTTCGAAACTACAATTATTTTGTAACTATTTTCTCATTTTTTCACTCCAGAAAAGTAACAAACAAAAGCAGTCAGCCACACTAAATTTAGGAAATTGTGAAATTTCACCTGTAAAGCTAACCAGCATTTATTCTTCTCATATTCTATGAAATAAAAATACAGTAAGATTAATTTGAAAGGCTTATAAAACACTGAATAAAATTTTAATAAAAGAACAAAAATAGCAAATTAAAACAAAATAAAATAATAAAAAGCACCAAATATAAGCAAAAAGGTAAATCGTTCCAGAACATTCTATGTAAAATATTTAAGACACAACAACCACGCCTACTCCCGTCTCTGCTATGGGAAAGTGTGGGATATGTAGGCTGCGGCAGCCTCAGTGAGTGTGACAGGTGAAGGCTTGACAGTGGAGTGAGAAGCTACGGGGCTGAGAGAAAGCGCAGGCCCTTAATCTCCAGAGCACGCTCCCTGGACCCTGCAGGACGCTTCTGCTTACTTCAGGACTGAGGACTGCGGTGCTGTCGCTAGGGACATCATCTTCATAGCCTTTGTTGTGAAAGCTCTCTGCCTCATGCCCTGTGCTTCCTTCGCTGGGGCACTTGTTGAAAGAGCAGCATGGGCTGTTGCTGCAGCGGGAAATCTCACACTTGCCATCCCCGATCTCAGAGGGTGTGCATGAGAGGTGAGGCGAACCGCTGTCATCTTGGTAAGGTGGTGGCTGCAGCTCATCCAATGGAGGTGTCCTTCTCATCCTCTGAATGCAGTTTCCTACCAAGGACAAGAGTGTGGTCACTGTTTGCGATCACTGTCAGTATACAGGAATGGAAAATAACTTTAAAAAGTAAAGCAAAAGCTCAACAGCACAGCTGTTAAGATCCTAAACGACTTTTCTCTTTCCTCGGACCAGGCACAGCAATAAAGTCATTTTCCTCTCACCCATAGGATCAGGAACATTAAAGCCATTCACTGTTATAAACCACACAGACAAAAATGACCCAAACTGTCTGTTTACTCGATCCTCTCTCCAGACATTTCTAATGCCATGTGTACGTCACCAATTTCCTTGTAATTGGTAACCTGTCAAGAGGCCATACAAGTATTGTGGGTAAAACATAAGAACTCTGTTACTTTCTCAGTTATGGGGATGAATTCCAGTCAACATTCATCTTAGCATTTTTCCACATCTAATTGGTTTTAGAGACTAAAGGAACCACGTTCAGTCCCTGCTTGCCATCTCTGAGTCTACCCGAGTGCCCAGGTTTCCTGGCCCACAGGAAGAATCGCTTCCAGCAATGATGTGAAGCCACATCTCCACCTTCTCTTAAATTATCTTTTAAAACTTTTGCTTCACTAATCTGTCTCACCCTGCAATGGAGAGTAAACATATCTATAAATGGTTGGGATGAAGGAGGGATAAGGGATTCACATATAATATAAAATTTTAAAAAAACCTAATAAACTTTGTTTTAAAAATATAGCAACTTTTCATTTTCTTTCTAAGAAATTAAACACTTCTAACTCTATCTATCTTCTAATAATGGTTATTGAGCACTCCACACTCTAAGTCTAGATGCTCTGGTGCATGCATACACTGTCATCATACACATAGACCAGGAGGGAGGTCATAAAACTGTATGGACTGTAGACATGTTGGCTCTGCTTACAATTTAAGTAGACAAGACTACGTAGATAGATCCAGAATTCAGTGTTGAATATTAAAGTTAAACAATGCTCCTACAAAAGAAACTCTGAAAAAGATAGTTTAAGATAAAATTACTGTAGGGGTCAGTTAAAAAACTCAATACAGCTCTTTCTTAAATTTTACATAAAAATTAAAGGCCTCATTAAAAAAAACCAAAGCTCTCATTCAAATGAAAAATATTAATTCCTTAATTTATAAATTTACATAGTTGATCAAAGGCCCTAACTTTAAATAAAACATCCTACCTTCTGAGTCTAGTACAAACTTTAAAAAGTATCAAAATGATGCACCTGAAGCTATGCAAGAGGACGTATTAATAACTGAGACAAGACACCTCTGCCATCACAGAGTCCACACATGGAGCCCTGTCCTCCCAGCAGTCCCTGCCAGTGGGCACAAGGGCAGGGTTTAGCTTGGATCCCAGGAATGCTTTGGCTTTCCTGATAAAAACGGGGACACCCAATTGGCATCTCTGTCCTTCCTTCTACTTGAGGTTCAGTGGCCACCATGGGACTGAGAAGTCACAAGCATGAGAATAAAATGTGAAGATAGAGAAAGAAAAACAAAAAACAAATGCTTTTGTCATATGATAGGGCATCTCTTGGGTATATTCCCAAGAGTGGTATTGCTGGGTCCAGGGGTAGGTTGATTGCGAATTTCCTGAGAAACCGAAACACTGATTTCCAAACTGGTTGCACAAGATTGCATACCCACCAGCAATGGATGAGGGTACCCCTTTCTCCACAGCCTCTCCAACAAAGGCTATCATTGGTGTTTTTGATTTTAGCCATTCTGACAGGTGTAAGATGATATCTCAAAGTTGTTCTGATTTGCATTTCCCTGATCGCTAAGGAGGTTGAGCATGACCTTAAGTGTCTTTTGGCCATTCTTCTTTTGAGAATTCTCTGTTCAGTAGGAGAGGAAGGAGGGAGAACATGAGCAAGGATGTCAGGACCACGAGGGGTGCACCCACCCACTGAGACAGTGGGGCTGATCTATTGGGAGCTCACCAAGGCCAGCTGGACTGAGAATGAAAAAGCATGGGATAAAACCGGACTCTCTGATCATGGCGAACAATGAGGGCTGAAGAGAAGCCAAGGACAATGGCACGGGGTTTTGATCCTACTTCATGTTCTGGCTTGGTGGGAGCCTAGCCAGTTTCGATGTTCACCTTCCTAGACATGGACGGAGGGGGGAGGACCTTGGACTTTCCACAGGGCAGGGAACCCTGACTGCTCTTTGGACTGGAGAGGGAGGGGGAGAGGAGTGGGGGGAGGGGGAGAAGGGTGGGAGGAGGGGGAGGGAAATGGGAGGCTGGGAGGAGGCGGAAACTTTTTTTTTCCTTTCTCAATAAAAAAAAATTAAAAAAATTAAAAAAAAAACTAAAAAAAAAGAAGAACAAAAAACAAAGCAAGCAATAACAGCACCCCCCAAAACAAACAAACCCCAAAGCACACAATAAAAAAGAAACACAGAAAAGTCGGGGTATCAGAAATTTGCCCCCAACTTTGATGACCAAGGAAGACAAAACACGAAGGTAAACACGATAGCTTCATTTTCTGTAGATAGCTACAAATGCAGCCTCAGCTGTCAGTTTAACTCATTAAACGACACTTTCCTCTCCTCATTCTTGTACTTCATCTATCAATTGGTTAAATTATATAATACCTTTATAGCCGCTGACATATAGTAAATCAAGAATTCCCCAGGTTTAAGTGCAATTTTAGAATATGTGTGGCAACTTCAAGAAAATAAAACAAAAAATAAATAAAAGGGATAGAAACAGAAAATAAAAAAGATAAAATAATAAACAGAAAAATAAATTTAAAAACATGTATAGATCAGAAAACTTTAACAAATGAAAATATAATTCATTAAAAAACAGAAATAAAATTGATAAATTATTAGAACAGACTAGTTAGAAAAACTGGAAATGTAAGCTATTAGTGTCAGGACTTCAACTCCTACAGGCATTCACACTGCAGGACAAAGTGTGTACTGCACTGACAGACAACGGGAAGGAGAAGACTGGGGAGGGTGTGCAGAGAGTGGAGCACACAAGGCCGCTTGGCTGAGAAAGCCCTGATCATGGTGCTGAAGCGCAGAGGAGCAACATTCATCTGCATGGTGGATGATGAGCGTCCACCGGAGTCCATGTAGAGGGTCGTCTACAAATGGGAAATAAAATAAACAGAGCATGGAGCCAGAGGAGAAAGCCTGTGTACAGCCTGACGATCAAAGAGCAGAACTCCCAGGTTAATGTAACCAGCTCTTTTATGTAAGATAAAGGAGTTAGGATATGGAAAGGGGAAAGGCTAGAGGTGACTAGTATGAGCTGAATAATAATTAGGGAGAAACGCATATATATCGTCCCAGCTAGTTTTATGTTGACTTGACATAAGCTAGAGTCATTTGGGAGGAGAAAGTTTCAACGGAGAAAAACAGCCCAATTAGACTGGTCTGTGGGCAAGCCTGTGTGCATTTTCTTGATGGAGTACTGATGTGTGAGAGGACATAGCAAGCTTGTGTTGGTGGTCTTGGGTGCTATAAGAAAGCAGGCTGAGCAGGCCAGGAGGTAGAACTCCTCAATGACCTCCACATCAGCTCCTGTGTCCAGGCTCCTGCCTGGCTTGAGTTCCTGTCCTGACTTCCCTAGATGATAGAGGACATCATCCAGCTGTAAGATGAAATAAACCTTTTCCTCCCCAAGCTGCTCTTGATCATGGTACTTTATCACAACAATAGAAACCCTAATTAAGACATGTACTCAGTTAACACAGTATATGCTTACATACACAGCCATGCAACAAACATTTTAAGGTTTTCCACTGAGATATGAGAAAGTCACTGTCCAGCAGCAGTGAACCCAGTGCCTACATCTTGGCTTTTACCTCAGAACGCAGGAATGACACAAGGTACCAGCTTCACTAATTCTACTCAACAGTGCACTGGAGGGCCTTCCTAGTCAATGCAGTAAGGCAGGTTAAAGAAGCTAGAAAATAATTGTAAATAAATAAAACTGTCAACTCTTTCAGGTAACTATCATGACACAAAACAAACAAACAAAAAAACAAGAGAAAAGCAGGGATAGAGAGGATTTGTTACAGTAAGTAAATTCAACAAGGCCTCAGTGTAAGAGGTCAGTAAGGAAAAAGGCAACTGAATTTCTACATACATGCAAAGGAAAATTGGAAAGTAAAATTTTAAAGCAATCCCATATTTAATAACACCAGAAAACATCAAACATTTAAAAACAAACCTAAGGAATTGTATTGGTGTTATTTTTCCAATCATTGAGTTTATAACTAGAATGTGTTCTTTCAACAACGGGTGGACTCCAAACTTCAAATTTCTTAGCAGCGGCTAACCTGAGTTAGGAGGAGTTAGTTACAAACAGGCAAAGCTTCATTTCTTCAGCAAGGCATCCCAAAAGAGAACAGAAACTTGAGAATTACATGTTTAGTAAATGCTTTCACTAGTTTTGCCACCGCAAGAAGTAATAGATTTGAAAAGCATAGCAAAAAATTAAAATAAAAAGAAAGAAGAGCCATGGCGGATTATCATAAACTTAATTAGATGATCTCAACTACAGTTGCCACTCCAGATGGAAGCTCCTTCTTGAGAAAATTGAGACGTCCTGGCATTTGATACGCTGTACTAGCTAGCAAGTGCTTTTCCTTCACAACAACACAAAGATAACAAAAATTAACAGGTTGTTCCACTTGGCAAGACCACCTACACCTCTACTGTCCCGCTTCAATTAGAATATTCTTTCTCCATGCATCCTCCACTCCACAGAGATTCTGAATGTGTGAACACCTCACACTCATCATGTAGATGACGGCAAAACATTAGATAGGAGAAGCAGAAGAGCCACAGATGGAGTACATTAATGCCTGTGCTTGGCAGAACTCAGCACCAAATCTTATAAAACAATGTGCTTGTCAGTAAAGTCTACAAGGTCAGAGAGATGCAGTGGAGTATTCCTCCGGCAGAGAGGATTTACTGAACCTCATCTGTCCCTGTCTTTCAGAGGACAACCAAACATCCTGCCAGCCTCTGTTTT